TGCTGGAGTCGCCCACCCTTGGGCACCAGCCTGATTGCCTCTGCTCTGACAGGCAAAGGAGCTCCCTGAGACAGATGCCACCTCTAGCCGGGTGTGGATCCTCACCAGCACCCTGACCACCAGCAAAGTGGTGATCATTGATGCCAACCAGCCAGGCACCGTTGTGGATCAGTTCACCGTCTGCAATGCCCATGTCCTGTGCATCTCTAGTATCCCTGGTGAGTCCTGGAGCCAATGCCCAGAAGGGCAGGGTTTGTGCTGCTCAGAGAACAACTAGGATGTTAAGTAAGGAGACCTGCAGAGCAGCACTTGCCTTCTGTGACACCCTGTGGACACACAGGAGCTGGTGGGGGAATGTCCAAGGAGGGCCTCGCTGGTGGTCTCATCCTGCTTAGTCTTAAGGACACAGGAAAAGACAATGTGATGCTCACCTGATTGGAAGTAGATGGGATGGCATCAACAGACGACCCCCATTTCCTCCCTCACACCCCACTGTGACATGAGTTCTGGGTGTGGTCTTGCAGCGGCCAGCGACAGTGACTACCCTCCAGGGGAGATCTTCCTGGATAGCGAAGTGAACGCTGAGGATTCTGGTGTAGATGGTGTGCTGGCTGGCATCACCCTGGTGGGCTGTGCCACCCGCTGCAATGTGCCACGGAGCAACTGCTCCTCCCGAGGGGACACCCCAGTGCTGGACAAGGGCCAGGGTGAGTCCTGAACCTGAGCCCTGGAGCAGCCTCTCTCTGCCTCCTTGTTCCTCTCCCTGCCCAGCCAAGCTTTTCCCTCCTTTCCACAGGGGAGGTGGCTACTGTCACCAATGGGAAGGTCAACCTGTCACAGTCCACAGAAGAGGCCACAGAGGCCACAGAAGTCCCTGACTCTGGGCCCAGTGAGGCAGAGGCAGCTGCAGTGCGTCCTGGGCCTCTCACAGAACATGTCTTCACCGACCCGGCCCCCGCCCCACCCCCCAGTGCCCAGCCTGGCAGGTGGGCTCTCTTACATGGGGAAGAGATAGAGGGGAGGGAAGGCTGGCAGAGGTGGGCAGGGATAGGCCTCCATAGGCTGCTCTGGAGCCATTATCCTTCCTGCAGTGAGAATGGGCCAGAGGCTAACTCTAGTGGTGTGCAGCCTGAGCCGGAGCCCAGTGGAGACCCCAAGGGGGCCAGCAGCAGTGCCTTGCCCACCATGTGGCTGGGAGCCCAGAATGGCTGGTAGGTGGGGCTCTGGGGGCAGGGGTTGGGGGAGACCCCCTGGGCAAGTCCCTGCCTACCTCAGCCTCCTCCTGCAGGCTGTACGTGCACTCGGCCGTGTCCAACTGGAAGAAGTGTCTGCACTCCATCAAGCTGAAGGACTCGGTGCTGAGCCTCGTGTATGTGATTCTTAGCCGAGGGCCAGGCATTGGGAGGGGGGTTGGCCGGTCCAGCCTGAGCCTGGCTCACCACCTTCCCGTTCCAGGCATGTGAAAGGACGCGTGCTGGTGGCGTTGGCAGATGGGACTCTGGCCATCTTCCACCGAGGTGAAGGTGAGGCCTGGCAGCAGTGGGCAGGTGGGCGGCATCTGATGGTCCTGGCAGCGTGTGAACCACCCCCACTGTGAGCAAACAGGGGACCTAGCCAGGCCTGAGCAGGTGTGGTGGGCTCCCTGCAGATGGCCAGTGGGACCTGAGCAACTATCACCTGATGGATCTGGGCCACCCACACCACTCCATCCGCTGCATGGCCGTTGTGTATGACCGTGTCTGGTGCGGCTACAAGAATAAGGTGCACGTCATTCAGCCCAAGACAATGCAGATAGAGGCAAGTGCGAGCGGCAGGGGCTCTGGGCGGGAAAAGGGCTCTTGCTGCCAGCATTGTTCCGGACATACCTTCTAATCGATGTTGAGGGGTCTGTGGGGTCAGAGCAACTGCACTCAGGGAAGTGACTCATTGGTCCAAGGTCACAAACAGGCAGAGGGTGGCTGGACTGAATGCCAGTCTGGAGCCCATCTGCTTCACCTTGAAACAAGTCAGGTTGACACCTATGTGAGAGCCACACACCTACCCTCAGCCACCGAGATGCAGGCTCAGGGTGTGGGGTGGTTGGCTGGGGCCCCCCTAGGCTATGGGAGCAAATCAGGTGCTAGAGCAGGTTACAGTGAACTGGGCAGGTATCATTCAGCTTCTCTTCCACTGCCCCCATTGATGGACTGCTGTAACCCTGCAGAAGTCGTTTGATGCCCACCCACGGCGGGAGAGCCAGGTGCGGCAGCTGGCATGGATCGGTGATGGGGTATGGGTGTCCATCCGCTTGGACTCCACACTGCGGCTGTACCACGCCCACACCCACCAGCACTTGCAGGACGTGGACATCGAGCCCTACGTCAGCAAGATGCTGGGTAAGGCTGTGCTGGACTGGGCCTAGCGGGGCAGGGAGGGCCCAGGAGGCAGCGCTGACCCCACCTGCTCGTTCCCTCTTCCCCCAGGCACCGGCAAGCTGGGCTTCTCTTTCGTGCGCATCACGGCCCTGCTTATTGCGGGCAACCGTCTCTGGGTGGGCACTGGCAATGGAGTTGTCATCTCCATCCCGCTGACCGAGAGTGAGTGACCCCAGACATCTGCAGAGATGGTGATGGCAGCCGCTAAAGGGCATGTGGCAGGGTCCCAGGGTGGGTGTGCTCTGCCGGGCCACACTTGGGAGGACACTGGACTGTGCTGACCACAGCCGTCCTCAGCCTGCCCCTCCTGTGACCACTTCTCTCCTCTCCCCTTCATGCTGTCCTCCTCACCTCCCCTAGCTGTGGTCCTGCACCGAGGCCAGCTCCTGGGGCTCCGAGGTAAGTCCAGAGGCCTGCCTCCTGCTCTCAGAAAGAAACCCCCCACCCAAGATGCCCTGGGGGCCCAGTGTGCTCCTACCCTCTGCCCTGGCCTGCTTGGAAATCTCCCAGTTGATGGGCTGAGCCCCTCCAGACCCCTCTCTATCTCCAGCCAACAAGACATCCCCCACATCTGGGGAGGGGGCCCGCCCAGGGGGCGTCATCCACGTGTATAGTGACGACAGCACCGACAAATCAGCTAGCAGCTTCATCCCCTACTGCTCCATGGCTCAGGCTCAGCTCTGCTTCCATGGGCACCGGGATGCAGTCAAGTTCTTTGTCTCGGTGCCAGGTGAGTGGGTGGGCTCCACTCCCTGCAGGGTGGCACCTGTGGCCTCCCTCAGGAACCTGCCTGGTGGCTCTGGCTGTCCTGCTAAGGTCCCTGTACCCCATGACAGGGAATGTGTTGGCCACTCTCAACGGCAGTGTACTGGACAGCCCGTCTGAGAGCCCTGGGCCTACCGCCCCTGCCTCAGATGCCGAGGGCCAGAAGCTGAAGAACGTGCTGGTGCTGAGCGGTGGGGAGGGCTACATTGACTTCCGCATCGGTGAGTGGGCACTGCCTTCAGGCCTTAGGGACTCAGGGCAGGGGCTGCCTCTCACACCCATCTGCTCTCCAGGCGATGGAGAAGATGATGAGACAGAGGAGAGTGCGGGGGACGTGAACCAGGTGAAGCCCATGCTCTCTAAGGCTGAGCGCAGCCACATCATCGTATGGCAGGTGTCCTACTCCCCTGAGTGAGGCATGACCTCCATTGCCCCCGCCTGACACCATCATGTACATATGCCCCACCCTGCCCACTTGCCACGACTGCCCCATGGTGCAGCCCACCAGCCCCTCTAACCTCTCAACCTGCAGCTTTCACCTTAGGTCCGGCCTGGAAGCCGACAGGGGCAGCAAGTAGCAAAGCGGGTCTGGCTGGGAGGTGGGATGTGGGTGGAAAGAACAGAACCTCTGGGGACAGGACACCCTTTTCTGGTTGGCCCCTAGCCCAGAGTCCAGACTCAGGGTACTGGAGGGCCAGAACAAGGCAGAATTCCATAATGAACAGCCCCCCAGGTAGCTCCCAACTTCACCTTGGGCTCCCCATTTTCATCACTCACTCCCAGGATGCCTAGGGCAGGAAGCAGGGACGTCACTCTGAGTCTTCCCACCCAGGGCCCACTTGCCTTTGCCTGCTGTCCATGAGGGTGGGGGTCTGACCTTACAGAAGCTGGTCCTGCCACCAGCCTTCCCTGGGTTCCTCCCTTCCCCATCCCTGCCACCCCAGGAACTGGCATGAAAGCATGTATCCAGGCTCCCTGGGGCAGCTGTTTGAAAGACAGATGCCCTCATCTGCTCAAGTCCCCTGATTGTCCTGTGGCAGGTTCTCACCAGCCTTCACTGACCCGTGTCCCCTCTCCTTTTCCTGGGCAGAAGATCCACCTTATAGAATCAGGCCCTGCGGCTGCCCCTCCTGGAAGCCCCTAGGGTGTAATTTCTCAGGCTGCCAGGGCAGGCCCAAGCCTCAGGAAAAAAAAGGGGGAGGGCACTGGGATGCAGACTCAGACTCAGCCTCAGGGTGATGGGGGAAGGTGTGCTCCAGGGCTTGCCTCCCAAGCAGCCTCAAAGGAGCCCAGCTCCCAAGACACACTACTAAGTGCCTTGGGCTGGTGGTGTGGCCTTCTCCCTTGTGGGCAACTGACAGGCTGACAGCAGAGGCCCTCAGGGCTGAGGACAGGGGCCACCTCTCAGGCTCTAGAAGCATGCACCCACCTGCTTTGAAGGGCACTGCCCTGGACTGCTGCCTCCCCAGGCCCAGGCCTTACTCCTGCTGCAAAAGGCACTGATCAGGGCAGCCCCAGGCCCTGCTGCCCACCCACCTCCCACCAGAGAAGCACAGATCTTGGGCAGCCATCCCACAGCCCAGCCGGACTCCACTGCAGTCACATGCAGCTGCAGGCTTCTCCCCACTGCCCTGCCACTCTCCACTGTGATGTAGGTCAAGTCCCCTGTCTGTTCCCACAGCGCCATGAATGACTGGGGGGTTATCTGGGTGGGTACAGCTGGGGGAAGGGGCTTGGTGACGGTTCTCCTCAGGCTTTGGCCCTGCAAGCGAACCCACATATCTGCTCTGTATGTAATAAATGATAAATGTCTTATGATGGTACTTTTGTGTCCCTGGACCCAAACCAATGCGAGCCCAAGGATTTTCTTCAGTTTATTATAAAAAGAAATGCCGGACCAAGCTGAGTGCCAGGGTCGCCACTCTGGTGCGTTTCTAGGCGTGCTGTAAACAGTGGCATACCAAGGCCTGGGCAGACCCAAGGGGTACTGTAAACCCTGCTACAAAAGGCTGTTCTGAGCACCACTTCCGGGGCCTGGAGGATGCTAAGTCATCCACAACTATTGCAGCGGTCTGTTCTAAAGGCCCTGGGCACCCAGCCTTGGGTCTTATGCCGCTGAAAGAGGACTGGCCCCTGCTGCCGGGTTACTCATACAGCCAGTGCTCAGTGCTGTCCTCCCAGCAGAGGAGCTCCCGGGGGTGGAACCAGAGCGCGATCTCACGGTGGGCACTCTCTACGGAGTCGCTGCCATGAATCACATTCCTGCGCAGGAAAAATGCGAGTAAGCTCGGTCTGGGATCCCGAGATGCCCAGCTGGGGTAGTGATAACAACGTCCCCCGGGGCTGAGGGCTGGCCTTACTTTCCGACCTCGATGCAGAAATCTCCACGGACCGTGCCCGGCAGGGCGTCCGCAGGATCCGTGGCCCCAATTAGTGCCCTCGAGGTGCGCACGACGTCCAGCCCCTGCCACACCTACCGACAGGGCCGGCGGCACAGGGTCAGGGCGCGGGCCAGCGCGGGTCAGCGCGCCGCCCGCCCTCCGGCACTCACCATGGCCACCACCGGCCCGGAGCCCATGTACTTGACCAGGCGGCCGTAGAAAGGGCGCTCGCGAAGCTCGGCGTAGTGCTCGCGCACCAGCTCCTCCGAGGCCTGGGGAGGGAGGGATCGCCGTGTGCTCTGAGGCACCGCCCTCTCCGGCGCCCACCCCTCCCGCCCTGCCCCTCCCGCGACCCTCCGCCTTCGCCCCCACCTGCACCAGCTTCATTGCCACCAGCTTGAAGCCCTTCCTCTCGAAGCGCCGCACGATCTCGCCCACAAGCCGCCGCTGCACGCCGTCGGGCTTCACGGCCAGGAAGGTGCGCTCATGCACGCCGGCACAGGCTGCGGGACCGCGAGGCAGCGCGCGTCAGACCAGGCCGCAGCCCTCCTCACCCGGCCCGGCCCCCTGCCCCGGCCCCTGCGTACCCGCCGGGAATAAGTTGGCGAAGATGGTCAGCACCAAGCAGATCATGATGGCGGCGGCGGCGGCAGCTGGAGCGGAGCGCAGACTGGGGTGGGGGTGGGGCCTGCTCTTAAAGGGGCCGCGGCCTGACCCCTCGTGCCGGCCTCCTGGAGGGGTTACCTCTGTGGGTGCGGAGAGGAGAGCTGGGGGAACGTGGTGAAGCCATGCCTGAGGTCGTTTACCCTAGGAGCTCTGCGGCTACCACGTCTGTGCCACCCCAATCCGCTCCTGTCTTCCCATCCACCGGGCCAGATACACCAAGGTATCAGTCTTTTTCTCCCCACACTCCTGCAGACCATCAGCCAAGTCCCCCGACCCAAACTCGAAGAAACTACATCCCAGGGCTGCTTCATTTGCCTTTATTCGCGTCCAAGCTTAGGTCCTGGCCGAGGCAACGCATGATCGGGAAGGGATGCCGGCCTGGAAGTGACAGAGGCCAACGCTGGGGCTCCACACCCACTAACCCCGCTGCTTTCAGTCCCCACCCCCACGCCGCCCCCAGCAGCTGCCTCCTGCGTGGCCCCCTCGGTGAGATTTGGGTTTGGGCAACAGGTACAGAGGAAAGCCACAGGCAGGGTCTGGCGCCACCCTTTGTTCAGTGCAGTCTCAGAACAAATCAAGGAGATTGGATTCAAGCTTCCAGGGAGCTGATTCAGGTGTAACCCAAAGATATTTTGTTTCACCGAAATGGTGCCCATTGCCTTACATCCTTCAGGCAGGCTGCCGGTTCTGGCATTTTAGACTGGAGTGCCCTTGGCCTTTCTCTTTGCCTCCAGTTTCACAGGGTAGTCCCAGGGATCAATGCGTATTCTGCCCAGATTCAGCACAGGCTCTTCGGTGCTGGTGTCCCCATTTTTCTGTCGCTCTGCTAGAATCATGGCACGGAGCAGCGGTGGGTAGGGCACAGAGCGCACAGTGTCCTCTGGCACCGGCTTGAAAGCGGTGAAGGCCGCCTCCTCGTGCCTGGGCACCAGCCGCCAGTCGTGGTACATGGTCTGTTCGATCTCCCGGGCCTCGCCCTCAGTCTTTCCTGGGGAAATGACTGGGTTTATTGCACACACTCGCGGAACAGTCTGTTGCCAGCAGTCACCCGACCCCGTCTCCTACTCCTTACCTTTGAAGGTCAGGATACCCCAGGCCTTACCATGGTCCAAGTTCTGCAAAACAAATAGGGAGGGGATCAGCTCACAAAGTTTTCTTGCCCCCCGTACAGCAGGATGCAGGAGACTCCGTCCCACAAAGCCGCGTGTAGGGGGAACAATGCAGCCCCGCGATGCTCGGGCGCGGGTAGGTGAGGACCGGCGCACACACCTGCGCAGTGTAGTCCGGGCGGACACGCGTGAGGCGCCAGTAGCACGGTTCATCGTGTCGCCACAGCCAAGATTTGCGCGTGACTAGGCGGCCCAGGCCGAATGAAGGCAGGCGGCCAAGCAGCTGCAGCAGGCGGCTCTCGCGGCGCACGTCGGCCCAGGCCCGCACCGGCAGCCGGCGGCCCGAGTGAGGCCGCGTCAGCGTCTCGTAGTCCAGGGAATAGCGCTGTGAGTCGTGCGGCCGCTCCCGCTGCTCGCGTAGGGCCCGCACGCGGCGGGCCAGCTCGGCGATCAGCCGCGGCCGCACCTTCTTGCGCGCCATGGTCGGTCCGCGCCTACGAGCTCCGGCTGTGAGAAGCTGCCGCGGCGCTTCGCGAGGCCCGCCCGCCGCCGGAAGCGGCTGGTGTTCCCGCATAGGCGTCCCGACGCTGCCGGAAGCGAGGAGAGGCCGGGCCGGCCATGGCGAAGGTTGGGCCTCGGAGGGCCGGGGGCTCTTATCGGGGCCGGAGACAGCGGCGGCCCCCGACCTGGGAGATCTCGGACTCGGACACCGAGGGTCCTGTCGGCACGGAAGCCGATTCAGAGGCCGCCACGAGGTCCCGGGACCCAGCGGAGGAGCGCAGGGCGACAGCCGAGGCGCTGCGGCTGCTGCGGCCGGAGCAGGCGCTCCGGCGCCTGGCGGTGCGCGTGGACCCAGGTGCGCCCGAGGGCGAGGGCAGGGTCCTGGGAGAAGCTGCACTTCGGCTGGAGCTCGGGCTTTGGAAGCTCCTCTTAATCACTGGGAGGTTATCCCCGGCTCACTGCGGGGTGAGAGGGGCATCTGTCAAGGCCGCCTTTTGGCCAAGAATTGGCGCCCGCTTTCCAACTGGGGAGCTTAAAGGATTCCAGGATCTGGATCCAATTGCAGTCTTGCAGCCGGGAGAATCGTTGTGTTTGTAAACGCCGCCCAGGCTGGGGTTCTGCGGTGAGTAGCATCCTCCCCTAGAGGAAAAGGAGTGACAGCTGTCTCTTTCATCCACCTCAGCTATCCTGGAAGATGCTGGTGCTGACATTCTGATGGAGGCCTTGGGCTCCCTGGGCTGTGAGTACCACATCGAGCCCCAGCGCCCCGTCCGGAGCCTCAGGTGGAGCAGAGTGAAGCCAGAACCTTGCCCCTACGGTGTAAGTGCCCCAGCAGCCTCATTTCCAGGGTTTACATAGTGCGGCTCTGGGTTGGTTACCTCAGTGATTTCACGAGGCAGCCGCTGTGAAGTACATAAGCTAAGAATGGGGAATGTTGAGTGGGTGATGCCCAAGCCACTACAGTGGTCAGTTGCAGGCCTGGGTCCAGGGTCTGAACTCAGCTGAGGAATGTTCCATCCCCATTGATTCTGTGGTCAGTGGTCCTGTAGACCCTCTGGACTAGGGCTGGTCTTGGCCTCCACAGGAGACCACATTTGTTTCTGTAGAGCAGTCCTGTGGGCTTGCCCGTGGCCATGAGCCTCAGAGCTGCTGCGGTGCCCAGGCCAAGGCCCTGGGGCACTTGAGGCTGAGGATGAGCAGCAGTACCCCCGGATATCCCTATAGGTGCCTCCTGAGATGTGGGCTGCAGATGAACAGGAACTTCTGCTGCTGCTGGAGCCTGAGGAGTTTCTGCAGGGTGTCTTCCAGCTGACCCAGGTGCTTGGTGAGGGGCTGGGTTCCCAGCCTGGATGTGCTGTTGTGCCGCTCCTGATCAAGGACAGAGGGGCTGGAGAGGGTGTGCAGTGGGCTGGGGCTCTCTGTTTGACAGCCAAGATGTGGATGAGATGGGGGAAGCCAGCTGGGCTCTTGGCCTGGGAGCAGATGGGAGCCACAGCTGCTTCTAGAGGGCCGAAGTAAGGATACCAAGCGCCCTCTGGAGAGCTGAATCAGAAGACAGGTGGGAAACTGGTGAGAGGGGGCCTAGGGATTTGGGCTGTGGGTTGGCTGTGCAGTCCTGCTGTGAGAGCCAACAGCCCAGTCCCCACCTGGCTAAAGGAGCAATAGAGACCACTCAGCTGATGTTTGAGCCGAATGTCAATAGGTTTGATGGTCTGCCAGGTCCCGCGCAGTCTGAGGTTCAGCATTTATCAAGCACCTGCTGCCAGGCAAATGCCAGGCTAGGGTGCAGAGTGGACCAGGAATGGGGATGGGGACTCAGCCGAACTCTTTTAGGAGTCTGAGACATGTCTGGGGCCTTTGTAGGTCCCCTCGACCTCATTAAAGGCACACAGCTGGTTTTCTAAAGAGAGCTGGCTGGGCAGAGGAAGTCTGCTCCAGTCTCCTCCCAGCACCCTGGGTTGTTCTTGCCCCACTTCTTTCTGCAAACTGGCAGTGGTCTGGTAACCTGTGGGCCCTGCCTGCTGCAGCCCCGAGGAACAGGTGTGGTAAACCTTGGCTTGCAGATCTGTGGCCCAACCTGCTCAGTACCCTGGATTTCTCCCGAGAGCCCCACCTGCACTCACCTGGCTGTCATCGGACTGGATGCCTACCTGTGGTACCGGTCACCCTCACACCCTTAGCAGACCTAACTGGGGTGGGGGGAAGTTCAGGGGAAATGTCATGGTAGCTCTGGGGCTGCTGTGACACAGCTACATCCCTGATCCCCGGGTGGGCTCTGGAGAAAGCTGGAGAACTCAAGGAGGGTGGGACTGATGGCATATGGGGAGCTGGAGGGATAGTCACCTTTGTTTAGGTCTTACCAGCCCAATGCCCAGGAGGAGATGCAGCAGCCAGAGTGTCCAGGGGTGGCCCATGCTAAGGTGGCGGTCGGCTGGCCTGAGGTGGAAGAGGTGAGGGCAGGGCAGGTTGGGTGAGGTGGTTGGCCTTGGCCCTGGCACCCAGGCTAGTCTCTGAGGCCCAGCACCTGGGTTTGGTCCCAGGGTGGCACATAGGGTTGGTCTCAGCTGAGTGTCCACCAGAGGAGCCCTCCTCTGACCCACCCTCATGGGCTTGCATTCTCCTTAGGCCCTGGTGCTCTTACAGCTCTGGGCGAACCTGGATGTGTTGTTGGTGGCCTCCTGGCAGGAGCTGAGTCAGCATGTGTGCGCCTTCACCAAGGCCCTCGCCCAGCGCCCCTTCAAGTGCGTGACCCCCACCTCAGTTGGTGGCTGCTGCAGGGAGGGTGACAGGAACACCTGGAGGGGTGGTACCTCTTTGACCTCTTTGAGAGCAGAGGGCTGAGCTGGGTGGCTGGGTGGCCAGGAGAGATGAATCCTCTAGAAACCTCCCTGCTCCCTCCCCAACCTCAGGCAGTTCCAGGAGTGCATGGCCTTTCCCTTCTGTACAGCTGGGCGCTGCGTGACAGGCAAGCGAGTGACAAGCGATGGCACAGGGCTTCGGGGTGCCTGGTGGCGGCAGATCAGGCAATTCAACCGCGTCAGCCCGGCTGTGGCTGATGCTGTTGTCACTGCCTTCCCCTCCCCCCGCCTTCTGCAGCAGGTGAGCCCCTTCCCATCCCCCCACCCCGCAGACTCCCAGATATGGAGGCCAGGCCCGAGGCCTGCCCTGCTCGTCCCTGTGCCTGCCCTAGGCGTACTTGGCTTGCAGTACCGAGCAAGAGCGCCTGACCCTCCTGGCTGATCTCCCTGTGAAGGTGGATGAAGGTGCTCGGCCTCGAAGGGTGGGGTCTGACCTTTCCCGCCGCATCTGCCTCTTCCTGACCTCCACCAACCCGGACCTCCTGTTAGATCTGAGCTCCTGACCATGCCTGCCTGACTTACAGGGCCTTCGCCTGACCATGCCTGCCTGACTTACAGGGCCTTCTCCCACCAACCAGCAAGACAGCAGGCAGCACAGCAAGGGAGTGACCAGAAACCACAAAGGGTCAGGGGGAAAGAGAGCAGTCATCCAGCACAACCTGTCCCTTGGCCTGGGGAGGGGCCCTCAGTCAGGTCTGAATCCAATGGGCGGGAACATATAGCAGGAAAGGTTGTTGGATAACTGGGATGAACAGAAAAGGAAGTTCTCCAGATGCTGGGCTGGCTGGAGAGGATGTAGACAGGGCCCTGTACAAGCTGGCTGCAGGCCTGGTGGCCAACTGGGACAGTCAGGAAGGGCTGGGTAGCACTCAAGTCCCTGCTGGGGGAAAGGCACCAATCACCTGGAGGCTTGTGGGGAGGTGATACCCTTGGAGGAGAAGTGAGACAGTCTCAAGGGGAAAAAAAAGAGAACCAGGATGCCTCTTCCCAAAGGTGTTGCAGTGTGACCAGAACCACAAGAGAAAGACTGTGAACACCCACGAGACCCAGGTCTCGATGTGGACTTCTTTTAATTCTACCACTACGGAGACATTAGGCATAAACTCAAAGTTTATTACGATCATTTCAGTCTCAGACAGAAGCAACAGCTGACAACATGCAAAGCAAATGAGGAGAAACTCAAGGTCCCCTGAGGCTGGCAGCTACAGGAAAGCTGACTTCTGATGAGGCCACAGACCACAGCCTCCAGGCCTGCAGTCTCAGTCCAGAAGAGCTGGGGTGGCCACTCCCAAGAGACTCGGAGAGAAGCAGCAGCTGCCATACCCGGTACAGGAAGCAAATGGACTGGGACAGTCCTGGTCTCAGGATCCCAGGGCCTGTGGCCCCTGAACCCCTGTGGCAAAGCCAGTCCCAGCCTCTGACGGCAGGGGGACAGCCCAGACAGACCTGGGCCCAACTCTTCCCTTTCCTGTTACTCTGGAGCATGGCCTGAGAGAAAGGATGGAGAAAATGCTGTCCTAGCCTCAAAAGGCAGTTTTCATTGGAAAATAAGTTAGGTCCTTCGGCAGCGCTTTCTCTGGCAGCGCCGGGTCTCTGGGCTGTTGGGACTGACACTGGCCTTGGGCGAGGGCACAGGGGACTTGTGGTGGCCACAGCTCATGCTCAGGACCCAGCCCAGCTTGTGGTGTAGCACCTGCTTGAGGCCAGGTGGCAGGGGCAGGCCCTCAAGTGTGTCCCCAGAGTTGGGTCGCAGCTGGCGCAGGCGGTGGCAACACAGGTACTGCAGGGAGGTGGCACTGGCACAGGAGCGGATGACCTTCATGCTGCTCTTGGCCGCTGTGGAGCACACCATCGGATAGAACTTCCTGTTCTGCAGCTTGGTAGCTGCCACTCCTAGAGAAGGGGGCACAGCCTGAACCCTGGGCCAGGAGGGGCTTGGCCATTCCTTGGACATCCTCCTGAGTTAACTTCAGGTGACCCTTGTGCTGTCCCACCCTCTGGAGACCCTGGGACCTCAGGCTTCTTTCTTTGAGGACACCTTTTTGGGGAAGCCTTGGGGCCACTCAGCCTGGGTGGGCCCCAGTCTCTGCTTCCTGTAGGACCTCAGTAGCAGCCACACCCCACAGGCATGTGTCTCCCCTGGGACCCTGGCCACCCTCACCTATGCACTTCCTGTTCTTAAAGAAGGTCAGTGTCCCATGCCAGGTGTCCAGGTGCACGCCAATGATGGAGCCCTGGCCAAACCTTGAGGAGAAGCTTGTCTTGTCACCCTTGTGGTGGAGGAGCCCTGGGGGACAGCAGAGTGGAAGGTTATCCTGATGCCTGAAGATCCCTTCCAGCTTGCCCCCCCATAGGAGCCCCCAGGTACCTGTGTAGGAGAGGCCCCAGCTGTCCTCATCCCTGCCGAGCAGGCTGCAGAACGTGTGGTGGTACTTGTCCAGGTCCACGTCTGATGTCCCAATGCCCACCATCTGGAGACAACAGGCTAGGCAGAGGGGGACCAGGCCAGGGCACCAGCAGTGCACCTCTCCTCCACCCCCGGCCCTGCCAGCCACTTACCATATCAGTGCCATAGACAGGCGAGGTCATCTTGATCTCCCAGAAGTGCTGCCCCTCCCCCAGTTCCTTGGTGCCTCGGATGGCTGCTGTGCCACAGCTATACTCCACATGGAAGTTGACCTTCCGGTTGTCACAGCTCAGCAGGGTGGCTGAGGACTTATTCAGGTCATCCCAGACCCAATCAAAATCTGAGAGAGAAAAGGCCTGGTTAGAGTAGTCTCCTGAGCTCCTGCCAGTCCTGGTGGCCCCGCCCCATGCCAGGCACTTACACTCATCTTCCTCCCCACAGTGGCAGTCCTTGCCCCGGTGGGCTGCTGTGTGCAGGCTGCCACAGAAGGAGGCCTCGCTCTGATTATCACAGTTGCAGAAAGACTCCCCCGTCACAGGCACAGCACTGGGGATGGATGGTGGCAGGGATGAGTACTCGGGGTCAGAGTCGGAATCACTGTGCTGAGAAAAAAGGCCAGGCTGTTCCCCTTGCTGTGCCTTCTACCTGCCACTTGCCACAATACCCACCACAGACCAGTGGTTGTACTGCTCCAATGCCCCAAGGAAGGGATGTGGCAGTTTAGCCTCAAAAGACTTCCCCAAGTCCCAAGTGCCCAGCTGGCCCACCCTTCTACAGTGCCCCCAGAGTGATCCTGGACACCTCCTAGCTCAGGTGCTGGGGAGGGCCTACCAAGCCACTGGCTTCCTGAGAGTGGGCTTAAGGGCCAACCCCATTTCAGCACAGCTAATGGGACCTATAGGCCCAGGTGCTGAGTCCACAGCGGGGCTGTATGCTCAGCCATTATTCTCCAGGTCATTTCTAGCTCATGGATAAGCTGTGGTCCCACCAGGGGTGGCCTGAAGCAGGGGAGTCCCTTGGCAAAGTCCACTGGTGACTGAAGGCAGCCCAGGAGTCCCCACAGTGTGGGAGAGCCTACACCGCAGCTCCTCCATCATCCTCGCAACCCCTATCCCAGGGCCCTAACAAGCCCAGGGGTTTTGAGCTACTTCAAGCTTTTGTAGGAAAACATTCAGTGGGAGCCTGGGCATCTACCTGGGGGGCTCAGTCCTGAGCTTGATCCCAGGCTGAGCTGGTCAGGTTGTGGCAACTGCTGACCCACTCTCTCCTAGGAGCAAGCAAGAGATGCTCTTGCTGTGTACCTAGTTGTTCCTGCTCTGAAGCCACACAGGCCCCTCTGGATACCTGCCTTGACTCTGGACCCCAGGTCAACCCTGGTCTCGTTACCTGGGGCCAAAGGGTACAGACAGCCTCTGCCTAACTGCCTCCTCTGCCAGCCCTCTCGGATTGCCCCAGGGTCCTGGTTAGGCTCCATCCTCCACCCTAGTCTTTGGGTATTCCTCTTGCCTCCTTGAAACACCCTCTGCACAGCAACCCAGGTGACCTTGCTCAGACCTGGGGCAGATCATACCACCCTGAGAATAAATTCCACAACCCCATCAGAGCTTACTAGGCCCTTTCCCCTGCCCTGGTCCCTCCCCTCTTCCCCCACCTGTCACGGGGGAGGTCTCTTTGCCCCTGGATGGCAGCTTTCAGATATCACTTCAAAGAGGCTCTTCTAGCCCTCCCTCCTGGGTCCTCTTCCTGCTCATCTGCTCCTCTGACCGTCTCCTTTGTCCTGTTGATCTGTCTCCTCCCACCAAAACGGAAGCTCTGCAGAGGAAGAGCCTTGTCCTTGTTTCTTTTATACCCAGGGCTCACACAGAAGCTCATGAGAGACTGAGCTAAGTGGGAGTGAAAGCCAGACCCCAGAAAGGAGACTGGAAACAGGCCCAAATCACCCCATTAGCATGGAATTGTGAGCCCTCAAAAGCCATGGCTAGCACACTGCCAGCCATAGGCAACCCCCAAACCCTCCCAGGGTCAGGAGCCAGGAGCCAGGAGCACAGCCCCAATACCGGTATGAGTACATAGGCCTGCAGGTCAACCTGGGCAGAGAGCAGGCCCAGCCCCTCCACAAGCCATAAGAGCAGAAAAGAAGGGAGGTGTGTGTGTCTAGCCTTCTAAGATGATAAGGTGACACACCCACCTGCCCACCCACATACTCAAATACTCCAGGCCAATTAGGTGATGGGGCAGGATGCTTGCAAGCGTGTGTCAAACACTGCACCCCAGCCACTCAATACTGCCTGCATCCCAGAGTGATGAGCCAGTGAGGCAGGGACAGACACTGGAAAACAGACTGCTTTAGGCCACATTATCAGGACAGGAGCTGGAGGAGGGACAGGAATGCAGGCCAGGGTCTCTTACTGGCCTGGGCAGGGAATTTGGGGAGGCCTCCAACCCAGAACAGTCAGTCACCTCCAATTCTTCCTCAAGGCCTGGTGGTTCCACAAAGCTCAGCTGCCCTCACTCTAGGGAGGAGAGGTGCCTGCCCCCACTCCCAGGATGACTGGCTGAGCCAGGGCAACCTAAAGACAGATCACAGACAAGTCACCCAAAGATCACACCTGCAGGAAGCAGTGGAGGTGAGTCAGGGCAGAGCCAAACCCTTGTTCTGGTCTAAGCGATTCTGGAAAATGACTGAAAGTCTACCTCCCTGCACTCCCTGGAACTGGCGCAAAACCCACGCTGCCCAGCCGTTCCCAAGGTTGGTACAGCTAGCCTCTCAGGTACATCAGGCAGCCTACACTGAGACAAACAGCTGAGCTGCTATTCTAACCTGAACTTGGGAGCAACTGCATGGGAGAAGGCACAGGAATTCTGGCATTCAAGAGTAAAGCTCTTTTCACATGCATACACACAAATATAGAGCACGTATCTGTATAGACAGAGGAACTGAGAGGAAATGTCCAGGAGGATCCAATGGTGTTAACAACAGGTACCTTTGGAAACTGGCTGAGAAATCGAATGAAGATACTATGTTGAATGAATGGACCAAAGAACCAATTGCCAGCCTCTTCAGTGGGAAGAGTATAGAGAGGAATGTGGTGTCTATCCTGAGGGCCCATCACCCCAGGTCCATGTGGGTCCTTAACCAGGTAAAACCCAGGTGAGCAGTAGGATCCAACTGTCCCCATCCTCTGCCCTCAGGGGGTTCTTGCCCTGGAGAAAGGCCTGCCTCCAGGGTCTCTGCACCTTAGACCATCAGTACCCACCTACCTGCCCGTCAGAATCATAGCCCCAGTTAGTGGTCCCTGCCAGAGCCATGGCCCGGGCATCTGCGTCTCGGTGGGCTGCACTCAGGACAAAATGCCATGCTCTGCTGCTCCGGGGGCGCCTGGCCATGGTGGACAGGATCTGAAAGAAAACAGGTTCTGAGCAAAGGAAACACCTGGCACACTGGAAGGTCTTCCAACAACCCCTGCATTTGGCCATGGCTGGCTGTGCCAGACCCCCCCTAAAGGTGGAGGATTTTGTGAGCCACATGGGTGCTAAGCTGGGGCTCTAGAACTCTCCTCACAAGCTCCTACCTCATTCCAGTGTCCAAGCACCTTGAGAAAACCTAGATAGAGAGTGTGAAAAACCAACCATACACCCATGACTCTCAAATGCCTATCTCAGCCCCACTCTCAGCTCAGCCTAGGGAACCCAGCTGGGCCTCCTGTATGTCCCTCCAGCATCCCAAACCTCACCTGGCTCCTCCTCCATTGTCCAGTTAGACAAATGGCATCTCCAACCTCCCAGTTCCTCATGCCAGACTCATAGCAGTCACCCCCCCACACACACACACACCCCATCTTCCTCCTTTTCACCATGGCCTTGAAGGCCTCCACAAGCCCCACACTACCTCCTCAGGGCCAGTTCCATCCCACCCACTGCACTCCCCACAGCCAAGCTGGTTTTTTGTTTGTTTGTTTGTTTGTTTGCTTGTTTTAATAGCCAAGCTGTTTTTGAAACAAATCTTGAAACTTGAAGCAAATCTTTTAACTCCTCAGGTCTTACCATTGTTCTTAGGATAAAAGACAAAATCTCACAAAGCCTATCAAGTTCTCCTGTGCTTCTCCAATTCGCATCGGCTTTGTCCCAGTTGCTAGCTCTTCCCTGCCCTTTGCCCGGAATGCCTTCCCCTTCCCTCTTTGGCTCTCAGCTTCCATATCCGACTTACAGTAACACCTCCATTTCTATGATTACCTACTGCCTAGCTCTCCCCGCGAATGAAGTCCCCAGGAGGGCAGGTACTGTCCCCCAGTAAGGACCCCGCCAGGCACAGAGCAGCGCTGTCGGTGAATGAGCGCAGGCACTGCTTTCCAGGGATGGGAGCGCCGTCTGTAGAACCGGATTCCCCTCCCACCAGCAACGCCGCTGCACGGCTCCTTCACCTGCCGATCCGAGCCAGTCCTGCAGCCAGCTCCGGTCGGCTGGCCTAGTCACCATCCGCTGTGTCTGCAGCGCACAGTGGGCGCCAGGCGATGCACTCCAAGTGACCAGCCAACGAGGCTGTCCCCGGCCTCGAAGCACGGCGCCTCGTAATAATTTCAGTTTCGGGCGGTGCTGCGGCGGGCCTACAGTGCGGGGCAGCCCGCCTGTTCCGCCCGCCCAGGCCCCGCCCTCGAGAACAAATGCGTGGCCGGGCCCCGCCGCCGGCGGTCCCGCAGGGTCCCGAACCGGGCGGGCCAGGAGGCGCGGACGCGACCCGCCCTCACCTGCGCTGCTCCGCCGCCGCCGCCGTCGGCCGTGACCCACTTTCCGCTCCCGAACGAGACGTAAACAATCCCCGCCCCCCGCAGCGCATTGGCCAAGCCGCCGCAGGCGGGCGCTCCTGGTCTGGGGCTTTGGCTGACCGCGCGGCACACGAATCTTGCCTAGAGGATGCTGACCCTGTCAGTCCTGACTGGGTGTCCTTACTGGTCACATCTCAAGCAGTCGGGGACAAGGCCCGCGCGCCCCTGGGACGAGGGGCGGGGTGGGGTGGGGAGGCGGCCCCACCCTTAGGCATTGACACGGAAGTGGGTTTATCTCCGGTACGTCGCCACACCGGAACTTGCGTAATTCTTTATGCAACCTAATTGGCTAAGAAAAGCGCGAGTGGACCTATCAAGAGGAGCCAGGGGACGGGCTCAAGTTTCCCATTGGCCCAAAGGCTCTACGTTCTGACTGGAGGCGGATGGATCGAAAGGAAGCGAAGGGAAGGCGTGCAACAAGCGGAGGGATGGAGGCGGCGGCTGGTGAGTCTGCGGACGCCGGGGGTAGCGGGAAGAGGCCGGCCGGCCGGCAGCTGCTGGTCGGGGTCCTGGGTGTTTGGTGAAGCGTCGTATTTATAGTGTAAGGGTCGCAGAAACTCACGTGTACTTAGGTATGTAACCTCCTCAAGTTACAACTTTTCCTGTAAGTGCAGCGCTGTTCGAGAACGTGAGTTCAGGGGAACCCAGAGAAATCATGTGCGTTGTTTGTCGTTAAAAACAGTACTGCCCTGTTTTATGCCACGGTTTTGTTGTTGTTGTTTGGTGATGCCACAAGAAAACAGGAAGAAGTCGTTTAAATACGGGGTTTTAAAAAGAAGACACCAGTCCGGCCGGTGTGCCTCAGGGGATGAATGTCAACCCATGCACCAAGAGGTCACCGGTTCGATTTCGGTCAGGACACACTCTCCCTCGGAAAAAAAATTAAAAAATAAAAATAAAAAGAAGACACCAGAACATCACTTTTAATTATTTGTGAAAGTTTATTTTCTAGCTTTCTAAACCTTAATACTTGAAAAAAATGAAAGTTGTTTTGGACCGAATACAAGCGGGTAAAATCAGATTTGCACAGATTAGCCAAAATAGACTTTCATAAGTAGGGATTTACCACATTTTGGAAGATCTTGTGTCTGGTACCTTGGACACCAAGCTCTTACATGCTAAATTCATCCATCAGACTGTAAACACTGGCCAAAAAAATCTGGAGCAGGTTTTTAGAATAAGGGAAGATTTGCTACAAGGTAAGAAGATTATCTTCTAGATTGACTAATTTTAAAAGAGTCGGCTTCTTTTTTAACTAGGGGAAAATGTACGTAAAAATCCAAAAGGCCTAAGTGGGTATGCAGTAAAAAAAAAATATTAAAAAATTTATCTCCCTGTGTCCAGAGGCAGTCCCTGGCATCAGTTACTTGTTTTTGTTTGTTTGTTTGTTTTCTTTATTAATTTTAGAGAGAGGGGGGGCAAGAGAGAAACATTGATGAGAGAGAACATTGATTGGCCCCCACCTGCATGCCCCCCACTGGGGATTTGGCCCACAACCTGGGCATGTGCCCTGACTGGGAACATGGATTGTCTGCTCAACCACTGATCCACACCAGGGAATAGTTATTTGTATCTTTCTAGAAAGATTCCTTACATACAAAGAGTTATAAATTTGTGCAATGTATTGGATAATCCTGTTTGTCTAGACTTAACATTGGTTGTACTTAAGGATGAAGCTGACTGGGATTTGTTATCTATACAGGGGCTCCTCACTTTCTTCTGGGGGAAGAAACTGCTTTTCTTGCCCCTTCCCGCAGTCTTACATCTAGTAGGCACTGGTGAATGCACGTGGTTGATTATCCATTTATAAACTTTTCCAGTTCACTTAGGGAAAAGATGCTTTGGTTAACCCTTAACAATTGCTGTCTGAAAAGTTCACCTGTTTCCAGTTACCTGCTAAGAGAATGAGTGTCCTGTTTGAGTCTCAGATAAAATTTCCCACTCCCACCAGTGAGGAAAGTGAGTCATAGTGATCAGGAGCTTGGCTGATCCAGGATCCAGATCTGGCTGTTCTTATGTTTCCACCTGAGCCCTCCCCTCCACCCCAACAAAAGTGAAGTTGACTCCCAAATACCTTTTTTTTTATCCTCACCCAAGGACATTTTTGCATTCATCTTCAGATAGAGCGGGAGAGAGAGAGAGAGAGAGGCATCGATGTGAGAGAAACACATCAACTGGTTGCCACCCGCACAACCCCAACTGGGGTCAGGGACGAACCACAATCGAGGTACATGCCCTTAGCAGGAACCGAACCTGGGATTCTGGTCCACAGGACGATGCTCTAACCGCTGAGCCAAACCGGCCAGCGGTTTGATGTTAAAGCAGTTTAAGTAATTAACCTTTTAAATTACTTGAGGGGTGACCTCAAACCACCATCTGGGGACTCATTTGCAGGCAGTGATCCAGGTTGAGGTTGTGCCCTTGTCTTACAAGATGTTACAGCCCCAGGTGCTAGAAGCATATCTAGGAAAGGCACTTGAATGCAGTGGTGACAAGGACCTGCCTGAAAGTCAGGGTGGGTGCCCTCTGAGTTCTTCCTAGGGAAGCATGGGAGATGGGGCTTTGGAATATAACCTTGAGAGGTGGGTCAGGAGGAAGGACTGTATTTCTGTGTTGATTGTGGGACCCTGTCTGTGTGTGGGGAGGGTGGTGGAGAGAGGAGCTTGTTGGAGGCAGGGTGGGGTCCTGAGGATGCTGGGGCAAGAACGTGGGCTATTTCAGAGGTGCTGAGAGTTGTGTGTATGCAGATGGTAACCCATGCAGGGATTGAGTTGGTGAACATTTATTTGGTGACATTTGGGGCTCTTTGGAAGGAAGAGCTGGATCAAAGTGGCTGGCAGCCAACAGCAGTCTACAGAGTTGTTGGGCCCAGGACCTGTGGGCCCAAGGATGCAGGGGCATCCTCTGGCCGTCCTTGTGTACCTAGGCTTTCTTAAGGCACAACTGGCAGCCAGGTGACACTGACATTCACGCACATGCATGATTGCAGATGCTCTGGGTCACCAGAGCTGTAAGGGTCCCTCCTGAGAATTGGAGGCCAAGGCTGCTTGCATTGTTTCCATTGGAATCAGCTGGGAGCCGGCAGTCTTTGGCTTATTGCCATGTGTGCAGTCACATGTGCGCATACTAGAAAGAGGAACAATTTGGGTCATTTCAGACAAAAGAGAGTGGCCGCATTGGAGGAACCAAAGCTTTGGGTCTGGGGCCTGCAGGAAGACCTTTGGGTGAGGGGCAGGTCTCAGGACTCACATGGTGACCCAGAGAGTGATCAATGATGAGCATCTGTGTGAAGGGTCTCCTCACTTATTCTTCTGAGCAGAGCCTGGAAACCTGGCTGGTGTCCGGCACATCATCCTCATCCTCTCGGGAAAGGGGGGGGTCGGGAAAAGCACCATCTCCACAGAGCTGGCCCTGGCTCTGCGTCACGAGGGCAAGAAGGTGAGTGCCTCCCACCCTCACCTGTCCCCCCCTGAGCCGCTCCTGCCCCTTCCTCTTGTGGGCGGACATAGAAACCAGCTGGTTTCTTCCTGCCTTGGGACACCCCTATGTGCCATGCAAACGTCCTGGCTCCTTGCAGGTGGGGATCCTCGACGTGGACCTGTGTGGCCCCAGCATCCCCCGCATGCTCCAGGCACAGGGCAGGGCTGTGCACCAATGTGATAGTGGCTGGGTGCCTGTCTTCGTGGACAAGGAGCAAAATGTCTCCCTCATGTCTGTGGGCTTCCTGCTGGAGAAGCCGGATGAGGCTGTGGTGTGGAGAGGCCCCAAGAAGAACGGTAATGACCATGCAGGGGACTTCCCTGTTAGCCTTCCAGCCTCCCTCAGCTGATCACTTGGTGCTCAATTTAAAAGCTGAGCAAGAGCCTGGGGCTGCTGGCCCTCGCCACAGGCCTCCTGCTGCTCACTCCTGATCAGACTTGGGTGTGGTGTTGGTGTCCAAATGGCAGTTGTGGGCCATGAGAGCAAGACAGCTATGTGGCCATCAGCTCTGGAGCCCCCTTCCCCTGGGCTGGAAGGGTGGGTCTGCTCACACCTGAGCCCAGCCTGTGTGCCCTGGGGGTAGGGGGTGAGGCACCAGGGTTGGGCCCCTCCAACTGGCAGTGAGGCTGCAGATGTATCGGTCTCAGGATGGGCGCTGCTCCACTCAGGTCATCTTCTCAGGCTGTGAAAGCTGAGGTGTCCCCAAAGCTGGGCACAGGCCCGGCAGGAGGGTCACAACTCCAGCTGGCCTCTATGGAGGCCTAAGCAGAAGTCCTGCAGGGTGGAGTGACCCAGCAGCTTCGAAGAAAGGGGTGCCTCCCTGTTCCACTGCACCCCCACCTCCCACCCTGGATGAGGAGCAGCATGGCACCCTTGTGCTCACAGTACCTGTAGAGATGCTCTGCACTGGAGATCAGGCGGAGGTGATGGGTGTGGGAGACCCCTGTCACTTGACCTCCCTGGGTCTTTGCAGCTCTGATAAAGCAGTTTGTGTCTGACGTGGCCTGGGGGCAGCTGGACTACCTGGTTGTGGACACGCCCCCAGGGACCTCTGATGAGCACATGGCTGCCGTTGACGCGCTCCGTCCCTACAGCCCCCTGGGGGCCATCGTGGTCACTACGCCCCAGGTACTGCAGAGCATTGTCCCATTTTTCCAGTGTGTCTCCTCACCCAGGTGGGCACCTTTTCCTACTCTTTATGCTCCTCTTGGTTGAGTGTTCTGGATTCCCATTGGCCTGTCCTGGCTCTTCCCTGGTCACTAGGCGGTGTCTGTGGGGGATGTGAGGCGGGAGCTGACCTTCTGTAGGAAGACAGGGTTGCGGGTGATCGGCATTGTGGAGAACATGAGCGGCCTTGTCTGTCCACACTGCATGGTAAGTTGTGGGGCTGTTACCCGCGTGGGTGTGAGGTGAGGCTGCGGGGGGAAGAGGATGCTGGCGCACACCCCAACCAGCTCCCTGGGCCTGGACTCCACTCCCTGAGTGCGGAGCGAGTCCTCAGGTGGACCCTGCGCCTCTGCCTTAGGAGTGCACCAACGTCTTCTCCCGGGGAGGCGGCGAGGAGCTGGCCAGACACGCTGGAGTCCCCTTCCTAGGTGAGCGGGTCAGGGCTGCCCCTTGGCCTCCACTCCAGGTGGTCCCACCTGCCTGTGTCCACCTGTCCTCCTCACGTTGTGGGTATCAGTTCATGTCTAATACCAGTCACTGCTGATCAGCCTGAGGGGAAGGCGGTACCATCAGGCTTTGAGCCGAGCCCTGGTGGCAGCCTGCTGAGGCCCCACGGAGGGCAGAGTGGCTGTGGCTCTGGCTCTGGGAACTCCTCTGTGGGGTGGAGGTTAGGGGGGGACACCAGTGGTACATGGCCATGTGTCCCCAGTGCTTGCCTTGCACTTTCTGCAAGTGGGCAGCCCGAGGCAGCAGAGCTGGGCCTGCTGGGTGGGCTGGTTGCCTTTGAGGTAGAAATTGAGCCCAGTGGCCCTTCCAGGCACCTCAGCCAGAGCAAGGCTGCAGGGGTCCGCTCTGGGCTACAGCACTGTGACAGGCTCCTGGGCAGTGGGAGGTATATGGGTATGACCTCCCAGGCCTCGCTCTTACCACCTTACCCCTTCCCTGGCCCCCTTCCTCTGTCTTCGCAGGCTCTGTGCCCTTGGACCCCGAGCTCTCGAGGAGCCTGGAGGAGGGCCGAGACTTCATCCAAGAGTTTCCCCAGAGCCCTGCCTTTCACGCACTCTGCTCCATAGCCCAGAAGGTTTTGAAGGAGACACCGGTTCAGCTCTCCTGACCAAGGCATCTCCTTCTGGAGCCACTGTGGGGCTTGAGCTCACAGATTCAAGCAGAGGTCCTGGCTGTGGTTCCAGGAGCCTGCAGGTCTGGCCTGTGGGGCTGTCACTGTGTCCACCTCTCCCTCCCGGGCCCTTTAGAGACGTTTCATGCTTTAACAGCATCTGGGCACCAGAGCCGTTGACAATGAGTGGTTCTGCTGGCTTGGTCTGTGGCAGGCCCTGGGGATGGCTTGGGGTCCTAGTGCCATAGCCTGAGCTCTGGTGCCTGCACGTGACTTTGTGCCATGGTGCTCACATGTCCCAGCCAGGCCGCTCCTGATGCCCACGTCTCCACATTGTCCACAATGCTTGTGGGTCTGGAAACTGGCTGGGGGCCTTTGTCGTCCTCAAGTGCCTGGCTGCTGGCCAGGCCATAAGTGATTGTGGTCATGGAAGGGTGCACCCTGTAAGATTAACTTGGGAGGCGCCCACAATTAAATGTGTCCTACCACTACAGTTATAAGTGTGACATTTCTAGATCATTCCACCTTGGTCCTGCTGTGCCCTAGAGAGTGGCTGTGTCAGCATTCACCCTAAGTCCTGGGGGCTGGGTCAGTAGGCCCGTCATCAACAGGCCCCTGAAGACTAGGATGAGGATGTATTTACAGAGGAATTGGTGTCAGAAATGTGTGCGTGGGGTCCTTGGCTAGTGCTGACTATCGTCTGCTCCCTCCGCACTGCAGGACCTGGACATGCAGTCAGTCCTGGGCTCTGCCTTCCCAGGGAAGTCCACTCCGGAACGCAGAGTAGTGGCAGGGTGCCGCCCTCTCCAAAGGAGGAAGGGCTGGCAGCAGAGACCTGGCAGCTCTGGGGTGGGGATGGCCAATCTCGGGTACCACTTCCTGGAGGTATTGGGGTATTGAGGAAGGAGGCTGTGTCAAGAGGAAAGGGGAAGAAAGGGATTGGCCAAAAGCAGTGGGGTGTAGAGAGGATTGGCACCCCCTCTGGCCCCAGTTGACACGAACTGCCTGGGCCTCTTGGATCAGAGGCTGCCTGGGCTGTGCCCCAGCTTCCCAGGCCTAGGCTGCCTCCGAGAACACTCCTAACAAGAATCCGAGTACGTGCCCTCCACTCAGGTGGAAGTGGGCGTCCTGGGAGGGCCGGGGTGGGAGGACACGGAGAGAGTCCAAGCACAGGGAGGGAGGTGTGAGGGACTGGCAGCCCCAGGGTGTGGGCTGCGCTGGCATAAAGAGGGGACTCCACAGTACCCACGCTGATGCTTTCCCTCTCCCAAGTTTCACCCCTGCTTTTAAATTTTAGATTGCTTTTAATTTTTTTTGTTTTTGTTGTTAATCCTCACCCAAGGATATGTTTTCCATTGATCTTCGAGTAGGAGGGAAGAGGGGGGAGAGAGAGAGAGAAGAGAAACATTAATGTGGGAGAGACACATCAATTGGTTGCCTACCATACATGCCCCAACCAGGGCTGGGGATCGAACCTGCAACCCAGATATGTGCCCTTGATCGGGAATCAAACACAGTACCCTTTGTTGGGCAGGCTGATGGTCTACCCACTGAGCCACACTGGCCAGGGCTATTAGATTGCTTTTAATGGGTGACAGCTGGGGAGGGCTGTGCCTCCAACCCTCCTGATCTGGCCCTCAGGGACCAGGTCAGCAAAGGCCTGGGATTGTTCCCTGAGGAAGAGATCCCCAAGTGAGAAGTGTGGGGCCTGGACCCTGGTTGCTGAGGGGTGGGGTGCCCGCCAGGCTCCAGGGATGGCAAGGCCTGTCCTGAGTCCAGGGCGGTGTCTGGCCTGGACAAGCCTTGGATCAGCAGTGAGCAAAGTGGTCCTCACTAACGTCCCGCAGGTCGAGTCCCGAGATGCTGGGGGGGCTGGCACAGGTGATGTTGTTGTAGGTATACATGGGGGGCTGGCAGTCGTACCCTTCTGGGACGGCTTGAACAAAGCGGGGCACGACAGTGGGGTGCTGTAGGGCAAAGGCCCTCAGGGCCCGGAGGGGGCAGCCACAGTGCCAGGGGTTGCCCTCTAGCCACAGGCGCTCCAGGCCAGACGGCTGTGGCACAAAGGTCCGCAACGAATTGTTCCTGAGGCTGAGGTAGCGGAGCCGCCCCAGCGGTGAAAGGATGCTCTCGGGCAGGGCCTCCAGGTGGTTGTGTGAGATGTCCAGCCAGAAGGTGCGCTGCAGGGGCCCCAGGACTTCCGCTGACAGTGCTGACAGCTGGTTGTGGGACAGGAGCAAGTACTCCAGCTTGCCAAGACCCTGGAAGAGCTGGCTGGGCAGCTGGGTGAGCTGGTTGGCAGTGAGGTCCAGCTCCAGGAGCTCCGGGAGTCCCCATAGGCTCTGTTCCTCGATGGCCGTGATGCTGTTGTCCTTGAGAAAGAGCCGGCGCAGCTTGGAGAGGCCAGTGAAGGTGTGCTGGCGGATGCGGCCCAGGCAGCTGCCCTCCAGGTGCAGGCTATGCAGCTTGGCCAGGCCCTGAAACACTCGCACTGGAAGGTTCTGCAGACAGTTGCCAGAGAGGTTCATGACAGCCACATTCAAGAGGCCGAGAAAGGCTCCCGCCCTGACCTCCTGGATCTGGTTGTCATTGAGTGTGAGCACCTCCAGCTGGCCTAGGCCCTCAAAGGCCTTGTCTGGCAGCTGCCGGAGGCGGTTGTGGCCCAGCCGCAGCTCCTCCAGGAAGTGCAGGTCCTTGAAGGTCCGGGGTCGCAGGCTGGTGATGGCGTTATGTGAGAGGCGCAGGACATGCAGGCCCAGCAGGCCTGGGAAGGTGTCTTCCAGGAGGCCACCCACACGGTTGTGTGACAGATCCAGCCAACGCAGTGCTTTCAGGCCCAGGAAAGCACCTGGGGCCACAGTGGCGATAAGGTTGTGGTCCAGGTAGAGCTTCTGGAGCTTGGGCAACTTGACAAAGACGTTGGCCTTGATGCTTCGCAAAGCATTCCTGCTCAGGTCCAGCTCCCGGAGCTCGCTGAGGCCATGGAAGAGGGGGGGCTGCAGGTAGGTTAGCTTGTTGCCTGCAAGCACCAGCTCACGTAGGTTGGCCAGGCCCTGGAACACTGTGTCAGGGAGCACGGCCAGGCTGTTCCAGCCAAGGTTGAGGTCCCAGAGGTTGGCCAGGCCATGGAAGAGTCCCTCGTCCACCCTGCTGAGGAGGTTGTTGTTGAGGCCAAGTGAGGCGAGACCCGGTGTGTGTACGAAGGTGTGAGCCACGAGACCGCGCAACTGGTTCCGCTCCAGGTGCAGGTGGTACAGGTTCGGTAGGCCCAGCAGCGCCCTCGGTTCCAGGCTGGCCAGTCCACTGCCCTGCAGGTTGAGGAAGCCCAGACTGGAGAAGTTCCGGAAGGCTGCCTCGGGGATGGAGGAGAAGTTATTGCCATCCAGCCACAGGGCCCTGATGCTGTCCGGGATGCCATCGGGCAGCTGTGTGAGGTTCCGGGAACTGCAGAAGACGCTGAGCTCGTCCATGTAGTCATCGTGGCCGCAGGTGCAGATGGCTGGGCACTGCAGGCCCTCGGTGTGCCCTGGCACTCCAGGCTCCACTCCCTCCGTGCTACAGGGGCCCAGCACTGCCCAGGAGACCAGCAGCACCGCCAGGGCCAGGCCTCCTGCAGGGAGAGGGGCTTGGGGAGAGGCGGCACTGGGGCTCGGGTGTGAACCCCAGGGTGAGGGAGACAGAGATTTCCAGACCTCAGTCCGCACATGTGTCAGCTTAGCACCCAGCCCACAGCAAAGCCACTGTAAGAGGAGGTGCTGCTGGTGGGACCAGAGAGGTATGCTGAGGTGTGTGGTCACCCCGCTTAAACTGGAAGCAGAAGGCAGACCGGTCAACTGGCAACATTCTCCAGCTCAGAACGATCACAGGATTGACAAGGTGGTAATACCTGTTCCAGAGAAAACTAAGGGCTGGGCGCCTGGCGATTAGGCCACGTGTCCATTTGTGTCCCTGAAGGGGATACTCAAACCTGGCCAGGCTGCCAGGTGGGCCTGGAGGAAGGCATGAGCAACACCGCCTGGGTGGGTACGTACTAGACAGTAGCCGAGCTCGATCAGCCTGTACCCAGGTACCTGGCCCAGCACCACTGTGGGGAGAGGAACAGGGTGCAAGCCTTGGTGGCAGGTCGGGACCCTAGATCATCAACTTGAGACTCAATTCACCGGAGTCAAGTTTTGTCTCAGAACAAAGGGTACCAAGCTCCCCAGCAAAAATGCCCCAGAACCTCTGCTGGGCACTGGGCGGCCCTTGAAGAGCTCTGGGTCTCAGGGTGGGGCAAAGGCAGTGCTGGAGGGTGCCCCACACCCAGCTGGATGAGGCCAGGCCCGCAGGTGGGGGTGTAAGGAGACACCCACCCTGCCTCCCTTCTGTTGCTATCCTGGGCCCTTAGGCAGAAAGAGGAAAAGGTGACCCTTGGGCCAGGCACAGCTGTACCCTCCAACACCCCTGCAGCCCCATTACCCCCATGGGCTCCCAAAAGTTCAGGCCTACTCAGCTGAGCAATCCCTGGGGTGCAGAGCCCCAGTGGGCTTGGGGACACGGGGCCTCACCTTTCCTCAGGGCCATCCCGCATGCAAAGCAGACAGCAGGTCTGCTGGGGGCTGGCTGTTCCTGCCCTCTGGATTTCCCCACCTCCGCGCTAGCCCTGTCACAGGCCAGCCCATCTCCGCTGGCCCCGGGCTCCATTAACTCCCTCCTGTCGGGTGGCCAGGTGCCCTGGGTGTAGATGGCACAGGGGTGAAGCTGGGGGACTGTGTTCACCCTGAAGCCACCTTCAAGGTCCAAGGTGGGCCATGGTGCAGCTCTGAGGGCCGACAGGGGCCTGTCATGCCCTCCCCACCCCCGCTTCCAGCCCAGCCCTGCAGAGTTGGGCTAGTGTGCGGATGGCGGTGTCCGGTGGAGCAGCCTGGTGCTTGGATAGGTTTGGGGAATCCAGGAAAGGAGGGCCATATGCTGGACTCCCCTGCCCATGGGTGGGCCCCCTCGGGCAGCTCCTAGGGTCCCCCCACCTAGCAGATGGCCATGTGGGGGTTAAACAGGAGCTACATTTCCCAATGGGCCTGACCATCTGCCCTGGCACACTGACCACCCTCCCTTCCCATTTCCTAACAGCCTGGGTGGGGTCGCCCAGCCCAGCATTGGCTTCTCCTGTGACCTCAGGGTCAGCTGGTGTCTGGCCACTGCCCCTCCCCCAGCCTCTCTTCTAGAATGCCTGGCAGAGCCCAGCCACCTTATGTTTGCTTTCAACAGGCAGGTGCTGCTCTCCGTAGAAGAGTGGGGGGAGGCCTGGCCGCAGGAATAGCCTCTGCCTGCTGGGAGCCCCTGTGATGTCCTGCAAAGCTCCTGTGAGGACACAGCCACCTCGTTCTGTACTTAGGGCACTGGGATGTGTGCCCACTGCCTGGCCTAAGGTCAGCCCCAGGTCAGAATGTAGACAAGGTGACGGCTGGCAAGGCTGCTGGAGCCTAGGGGAGCCCCACCACACCCTAATCCAACAACCCTTTCTGCTCTTTCTGCTCAAACCAGCACCTGGCCCTCCAGCCATTCCTTCCCTCCTCCGTAGGGGACCCTCCCTCCAGCTGTCAGCTGCCCCCAGAGTCCCTCACTCTGCCTGGGGGCGAGGGGGAAGCACAGCTGGGTCTGGGCAGGGCAAGGCTTGTGGGGGTTTAGGGGACGCAAATGGAACAGGCCTGCATCTGACTGGACAGTAGGGAGAGGAAGGGTGAGGCAGGTGGGGCTATCCCAACCCTCCCCTGTGGGGTCTGGAAGCTTCGGGCTGAGCTCAGAGGCTGGGCCTGCACCCTCCTCCCAGTGGCAACCCCTCCCCTGCCTCACCAGCAGTGGGGTGGGGGAGGCAGCTTTATCTCCCTCCCTCTATTGAGCTTTGATATTTTTCCAGGTCCTTTCTCAGCTTCTGAGAAATTATAGATCTGCCAGGGAGAAAGTCCACACCCAGAAATTTACAGAGTAAACACCATTTACAAGGTAAAAAGTGCAGACTCAGCAGGAGTTCTGGGGCCAGTGGGGCCTCTTCTCTGGAAAGTTCTCTCACGGAGGGCCCTCTGTTCTGGAGAATGAGGCTGGAGCAGGGTGGGTGCACGTGGACATGGAAAGGAGGGTGAGGGGTCCTGTCACTGAACATTTGCAAGTTGGGACAGGAAATTCCTGTGAATCTCGGTTGAGCTTGCATGGCTGGCAGACCCTTACAGGATTTTGGCAGCTGGACTGGGTTTGTTTGTTTTTCCCTTTTATGTTTTAAAGTTGATTTTGAGAGAGAGAGAGAGAGGGAGAGAGAGAGAGAAAGAAAGAGAAACATCAGTTGGCCACCTCCTGCATGCACCCTACTGGGGATCAAGCCCACCACCTGGGCATGTGCCCTGACTGGGAATCAAACTGGCGACGTCTTGGTGCATGGGTCAACGCTCAACCACTGAGCCACTCCGGCCAGGCTGGGTTGGGTATTTTTAAATCTTCCTTGAGTTTTGCAGTAACCCTTCCAGAGTAGTTAGGGAGCCACACCTTCCTGGGCACCAGGGGTGCCCTGACACCACAAGCTGCTCTGTCTGCTCTTATCCCACTGGCCAGTGGGTTGTCCTGTCCTGGGAAACGCATGTTTCAGTCTGTGGCCAATTTACTTTTTGGTTGTCAAGTGTGATTTATAAGATTTTTTTTTTTTTATCACATTCAGATGCAAGCCCTTTGTCAGGTGTGTGGGATCCATGTTTTTTGCCCGTAGTTTACTTGTTTCTGCTCTTTATCATGGTTGTGACAAGACTTGTTAATTTAACATGGCCTCTTACAAGCTGTTCTTTGTTACATATTGACCTTGATTTCTCAAATACCAAAAATAAAGATGGAAAAAATCCAAAAATGTCCCTTTCATATAGTCCAATTGGTCAGACTATGGTTTCAAGTCATATTTGGCACATGACTTGTATGTTCTCTTAAAATACCTTGAAAACATGTTATTTACCTTTCACCTGGACATCTGGAGGCTGCCGTCTCCAGTCCACTCCCTAAGAGTGTGAGGCAGAGCTCAAGTTTAATCCTTTTTGTTTGTTTGTTTCACAGGTAAATTCTCTTTTTTTTGTTGTTGGTGGGAATTTTTTTTATCTTTATTGTTGAATGTATTACAGATGTTCCTTATTTTTTCCCCCATCGACCCTCTCCTCCTCACTCCCGCCCCATTCCTGCCTTTTCCCACACTGTTGTCTGTGTCCATTGGTTATGCATATAAGTTCTTTGGTTTATTTCTTTCCACCCCCAAACCCCCCTTCCCTTTGAGGTTTGTCAGTCTAGCAACCAATTTGTTCTTCTTAATCCCTTCACCTTTTTCACCCATTCCCCCAAACCCCCTTCCATCTGGCAACCAACAAAATGTTCTCTGTTATCTATGAGAATGTTCTGTTCTGCCTGTTCATTTTGTTTGTAGATTCCATTGTCAGTACATATGTATTCATTGCCATTTTGTTTTTTATATATTTTATCTTTTTCTTCAAAAAGACCCTTCAGCCCTGGCCAGTTTGGCTCAGCGGTTAGAGCATTGGCCTGCGGTCCGGAGAGACCCGGGTTCGGTTCCCGCTAAGGGCACATACTTCGGTTGCAGTTTGTCCCCGGCCCTGGTTGGTTGTGCGGGTGGCAGCCACTCGATGTGTCCCTTCACATCAATGTTTCTCTCTCTCTCTCCCTTCCTCTCTCTCCCTCCCACTCTATCTGTACAAAAAAAAAAATGGAAAAATATCCTCAGGTGAGGATTAAAAAAAAGACCCTTCAACATTTCATATAATAACGGTTTGGTGGTGATGAACTCCTTTAACTTTTTCTTGTTTGGGAAACTCTTTATATGGTCATCGATTTTAAATGACAGCTTTGCAGGACAGAGTAATCTTGGTTATAGGTTCTTGTTTTTCATCACTGTGAATATTTCTTGCCACTCCCTTCTGGCCTGCAAAGTTTCTTTTGAGAAATCAGTTGACAGTCTTATGAGAAATCAGTCTTATGGGAACGCCTTTGTAGGTAACTGCTTTTCTCTTGTTGCTTTTAAGATTCTCTCTTTGTCTTGAATCTTTTGCATTTTGATGATGATGTGTCTTGGTGTGGACCTCTTGGGGTTCATCTTGTTTGGGACTCTCTGTGCTTCCTGGACTTGTATGTCTGTTTCCTTCACCAAGTTAGGGAAGTTTTCTGCCATTATTGTTTCAAACAGGTTTTCGATTTCTTGTTCTCTCTCTTCTCCTTCTGGCACCCCCAAATGCGAATGTTGGCACGCTTGAAGTTGTCTCAGAGGCTCCTTACACTATCCTCATTTCATTTTTTTGGATTCTTTTTTCTTTTTGCTGTTTTGATTGGGTGTTTTTTGCTTCCTTATATTCCAAATTGATGGTTTGCTTCTTGGCTTTACCTACTCTACTATTGAATCTGTGTAAATTATTCTTTATTTCAGTTAGTGCCTCCTTCATTTCTAACTGGTCCTTTTTTATGCTCTTGAGGCCCTCACTAAGTTCACTGAGGTTCTCACTAAGTTCACTGAGCATCCTTATAAGCAGTATTTTGAACTCGGCATCTGTTAGGTTGCTTATCTCCATTTTGCTTAGTTCTTTTCCTGGAGATTTTTTCTGTTCTTTCATTTGGGACCTGTTTCTTTGTCTCCTCATTTTGGCCGCCTCCCTGTGTTTGTTTCTGTGTATTACTTAATGAGAGGTGTGGGGCTATCTGAGACCAGATGCTGCTTGTTTGAAAGAATTTAGGAAAACCTGAAGCAGGATCCCAGACAGGCCAATCCTATGGTTAAGCAACTGGTAACAATTGGGTGGGCCTGACAGTTGGGTGGGGCGGGGCCTCGGAATCACCAGGGCGGGGCTACCAGTGCGAGCCAGGTTGCTGGAGTCCCAGATATGGCAGCTGTCTGCCGCCCCTGGGAAGGGTTCACCAAAGGAACAAAGGCCTCTGACAGCACGTCTGTCCCGGAGAAAGCCCCCTCTCCAGGCCTCGCTCCAGTGCCAAACAGCTCAGTTCTTCCCTGTATGTTTCTGGTGCCCCTCAAGCTGCCTCTCCTCCGAGTTTAGAGGGAGAGAGTCCGAGAAGTCCGTGCGTGGGCCTTTCAGGAGCTGCCTGGGGCTCCAGCCGCCTCAGCCTCCCTGAGCCTCAGTTCCCACTGGTTTTTCCAGCCAGAAGTTATGGGGATTCTCTTCCTGGCACTGGAACCCTGACTGGGGCGTCTGGTGTGGGATGGGGACCCCTCAGTCCTCAGGGAGGACCTTCCCAGCCGAGGTGTCCTCCTGATTTTTATCCGCCACACGTGGGTGTGGGACCAGCCCGTCCGCCTCCGCCCCTCCTACCAGTCTCCATGTGGCTGCTGCTTTAATTCCGTAGTTGTAGGACTTCCATTCAGCTTGATTTCAGGTGGTTTTGAATGATGGTTGTTCTGTAGTTTAGTTGTAACTTTGATGTGGTTGTGGGAGGACACGATACCGCGTTTACCTACCCACCATCCTGACCAGAAGTCTCTCAAGTTTAATTCTTGTCGGTGGGTTAAGATGGCCTCAGCACCACCTAGCCAATGGCTGCCCTTCCTCCCTGCTCTCCGGTGCCACCCT